ATTAATGAAATAATTTAAATATTATTCTTTATTACAGGCTTCTCTCATATATATAAATATATATATTTATTAATTAAAAACAATTGCTGTCTGTTAGTCTCGCTAAAATTCGAAAACGGCTTGAATGATTTTGATGAATTTTTGTGTGTATTTGAATGGGTTTCTGGATGGTTTAAAAACTCAATAGGACCCGGTAGGTGGCGCTGTTGTCGAGATCCAGAAATCACCCGTGTAAACCCCGAGTGGATCGCTAGCCATATATACATTATACACATTTCGATAAAGAATGATCTATGTTAGACATAACACATAAACTCATACGGCTGTCATTCAGAGGCGAGGCCAGAGACTACGGAGCCACGGACTTCCATTTGGAACGTTATTGACACATATCTCTTGTTTTTTTATACCTATATCTCTACGCATGCCTACAGTTATGGATACTTTTATTGTTAACTGTCATTAACATTTGGTCAATAACTTTCCGTCTAAGGAGTTCCTTGGTCCTTGCCCATGCTGCTACTCACTTCTCACTAGTAAAGAGAAATAAAACTATATAAACGTTTCTTCTTTCATATATATTATGCAACTGAAATATCATAACCACCTCAGAAGGAAAGAAAGTTGTAAAGATTTGTACCAATTTTCTTCATTAAATATAAGCTTACCAGTCCACGGTACATCCTATCTTACTAACAAGATATACGCTGGCGCCCTGCAAAAGGCACAATATCAATTTGACAATACTGAACCCTAATAACTGAGAATGGTAATCTGCAGCAAAATTATCTCATCAAACCGCCTACTCGGCGTAGTGATTGATAAGTGTTGTGCATTTTCTTTAATAATGTTTGCAATTTTGAGTTTTTTTTTTATAGAATAGGGTGATAAAAGCACGTTGGTAAGTAGTTGGTTTTTCATGAATACGAGTTGTGGTATTGGGGTGGATATTTTGTAAATCCCTACATACCATATATTAAAGGTAACTGACGACCAAAATTCATACCATTACAGCCCATACAAAAGTCCACTGCTGAACATAGGCCTCCCCCATGCATTGCCTCATAGGGAGGATACTGGCCACAGTTGCCACGCTCAGCAAGCGGTTGCCATGCAGTTTTTTTATTTCATTCAGATATTATAAAAGAGTTGCTGCTGCACATCTCCTGGTTCAGCTTTTTTATATAGGATAGGGTAACAAACTAACACACAGTCCACCTGATGGTAAGTGGTTCCTGAGGTCCATAGACTTCTACATCTATCCTCGATTACAAATCAAAATGCAGATACGTTGTCACCCGTGAGGACTAAGATGGATGCCTCGTTTCCAGTAAAAAGGGGAGACCCTTTTTATTGGAAACGAGGCGTTCCATCTTAGGCGTTCTTGAGGTTCTCTACACTCACCATACGAAACACAGCAGCATTAAGCTCTAGTTTACGCTGGTCTTCTGTGAGAGCGTAGTCCTTCCCCGCAACACGTTACAACTATAGTACTAATATAACTGCAGCATGGCTCTACCACGTCTAAAAGCTTCCCTCCGTCGCGTCATACGACACCCACGGATAATATGCATAAGTACTGATTCAAGAAATTTAGCCTCTGAAACATAATAATGATGTTCAAAACATGCGTGTTATTAACAAATTGGCAAAACATAGTTTTTAATTTGTTTCGGTTGTTTTTTTATCAAACTGGCCAGTAATTTCATTACTTAAACCTTGCGTTGTGATGTGTGTACGAGTGCTGGAATCGTGACTATGCTCGGCACGAGCTAACCACCGAGTTACGTTCCCGCCTCGCTCGTAACACGGTAACGATCGTTCAGCCCGCTTGTAATTATTTTTTAACGATTCGGCCAGTGTGGGCGGTGGTTTTACCTTCATTCGGTGCCTATAAAATGGGCAACTTTTACTTTTTTTTCTATGCTAAGTTTAGTGCTCTATGGCCAGTATTAGAAATGCCTGTATAGTAAATTTTAATGTTTATATTATAATCGATCCATACATTCCATCACAACAAATTAAAGTCCACAGCTGAACGTAGGCCTCCCCCATAAATTGAATCATAGGGGGGATAGTTGCCACGCTTAGGAGATGGGATGACAACTAGAGATGGGCTGAATATTCGTATTCGGCCGAATATTCAGCTAAGTTGCCGAACATTCGTTAAAGTGGTACCCGGTATCCACTGCATTGTAATGTACGAATTGAGTAATGCCATGTATTTTATAATTTTACTGTCGAAAGTATATTTTATTTATAGCCAAAATCTACTTGAAATGTTATATTTTTGAGGCACTGTAGATTTAGTTCCAATTACAAACAAAAAGAAAGCTTGATAAAATGTTTTTGGAATCAAATAAAAAAACATTACATTACATAAGTACATTTCACTTTACTTCGGTCGTCAGTTTCTCTAAAATAAGTCCAAGTAGTAGATGTCCTGGCACTAATTTTTTACATATAATTATAAATTTTCAGTAAGAATAACACAATGAAATACTTTTTTCTCACAATAATAGTCAAAACAAGCAAGTGCCGACAATTTGCTCAGTACTAGATGATGCAATAACATGTTTGGTGTGGCGGGGAAGCAAGAGACAGGGTCCGGCGCTAATCCCGCGCGCTTTACGGTAACAAGTTTCGACATAAATTGGTTAGGTACCGAGGTGATCCTGCCGAATAATGTTCGGCCGAATATTCGGTTCGGTAAAAGATTTACCGAACATTCGGCCGAATATTCGTATTCGGTGAAATCCATGTTCGGCCCATCACTAATGACAACCACGGTTTATGCAATAATATGTTTATGCAGAAATGATATGTGTATGTCAAAATATTTTGAGATGTTCACGTCCAAAAAGGAACTTAAAGTTTTCAAATATTATACTTATAATTACAGTATGGTGAAGTATCGAACTTGGCCTGAGGTATAGTTGTGGAGGTAAGAATATTTTCTACAGTTTTTTTTTAAGACAACACACATATTTTACCGATCAACATTAACTCTTTTAATTTTTTTCCGATATCGGAAAACTTGACACCTCTAGATTTACAACCCTCAATTATTTTAATAGATTAGTTCTATCTCATCTTGTTTTCTATTTCTGTCCTGTTTTAAAGCATTCGACGGTATCGTGGCGTACCTAGTGATCTGAGTATTTGGTTACTCACAATTAGAATTTATTTCGAATTCCTTATAAATCACAATTCTGTGATTTATTGCTTATGTTTGGCGTAATAATTGTGTTATTCGAGCTATAAGGCATACGAAACGTATGAACCCATCTTGTCTCGCAAGTCAAGAGTTAGTAAATAGTTAAGGTACGTGAGCGTAATATGGTCACCTTAAGCTTTGTCACTTTATAAAACCAAAACTAGGAGGAAGACAGAGACAAAAAGACAAATTTGTATACTATGACATTAGTCATATATATATATATATATATATATATATATATATATATATATATATTAAAAAAGTAGCAAATTTCAACACTTGGCAGCACTGCGCTAACCGTCAGTTGGCAGTGATGCTTGGAATCAGTAGACACGCCTTTCAAGTTGGTGCGGTATTTATTAGTTTGATTATTGCAATTTAAAGGTTTTGAGTACTTTTAATATTATTTATCAACAATTTCGAAGACGTACAAGATTTGCATAAGGGTGTCATTATATTTTGCTATTAAGTAAGGTTATAAATGCGATCTTGTTGGACTGATTGTAACTGTTATAGCCAATCGAATTAGCGTGAATCTTAAAGAGTGCGCACCTAAAGAGTGCGCATGCGCACTCTTAGGTAGTAACTCATGGGGAACAAAGCAGCTTTTCTAATTATTTATCTTTTGTTTTTTTTATAGATCGCAAATATGTCAAGTTATAAAAGAAAATCAGATATAAAATTGGTATTTACTGAAGAATAAAATTAAAAAATCGGGAATTAAAAATAAAAAGTAAAAATAAACGCGATAAAATCCGTAAAAATTTACTGAAGAAATTTTAAAAGATGCAAAGGAAAGAATAGGCCGTGGGCAAAGTCAAAGATCAGTTGCAGAGTCTTTGAATGTCCCAGAATCGACTCTAAGAAAAAGACTAAAAGCAGGCACTGTTCCTTGCTCTTTCAGTAGATTTTCAAATGTATTTACTCCTGAATTGGTATTATTATGTTTATTTAATTTTATTTATTATAGGATCCCAAGCAGATGGTAGCACCCAGCCATCTTCTCTATTGAAATTAGGATGTTTTTTGATTTCAATAGCCTCGCGAATCATCCTTGGAAGGAATCGGTGTTCTTTAGCGAGGATTTGCGGTCTATCAAATCTGATGTAGTGACGGGGGCGATCCTGTACATGTTCACAGACTGCAGACTTCCCGGAGCGTCGATTCTTCACATCAGCTATATGTTCTTTAACGCGGGTTTTTATTGATCTTTTAGTTTGTCCTATGTAGGAGAGACCACATTCACAATCAAGCTTGTACACTCCTGCATCTTGCAGAGGTACATTACACTTGACTGATGGTAAAAACTAACCAATCTTCTTCAGCGGCTTGAAGTATGTTTTGATGGAAGCGCGCTTCAAGATGTAGCCAATCTTGTCAGTGACTCCTCTAACATATGGCAGTACAGCAGGTACACGCTCGACTGTGGCCGGCTTCACTCGTTCACTGTGACGTAGGCGCGGGACTCGAAGCTTGTTGTCATGCAAAACTTGCTTGACATGGTGGAGCTCTGCAGCCAGGTGTTTACTGTCACAGATCCCTCGTGCTCTCTGAAACAAAGATTTACCCACGGTAGCTAACTGTGAAGGATGGTGGTGAGAATCACCGTTTAAATATCTATCTGTATGGGTCTTTTTTCTATACACAGTATGGCTCAAGGTGTTATTAGGATTCCGAATTACTAACCATCTAGAAAAGCTAAGGAATTGTTTGCCTCTAACTTTTCCTCTTAGAATTAGTATGGCAGTAACTTGGCAGAGCACTGCCGACGCTTGAATTCATGTTTTATGGTCTGACGACGAAGGAGCTAGGAAGAGTCGCTTATGATTTAGCAAATAAAAACGGTCTTAATCATAGATTTAATAATGATAAAAAGGAAGCTAGCAAGAAATGGGTCGAACACTTTGCCAGGCGGCATTACTTCAGTCTCCGTCAACCTGAAAAAACAAGTTTGGCACGTGCTGCAGGATTCAATCGTGTACAAGTGCAACGATTTTATGATAATTTAAAACAAGTACTTACAACCTTCAAATTTGTTGGCAGACAAATTTTCAACATCGATGAAACTGGCCTCCAGACAGTGCGAAACAAGTTACCCAAAGTTTATGCCAAAAAAGGCAAGAAAATTGTAGAAAAAGTTGTGTCCGCAAAACGTAGAAAAACAGTAACGGCTGTTTGCTGTATGGGTGCTACTGAAATATTCGTACCACCTGCATTAATTTTTCCTAGAAAGCGGCAAAAACCCGAATTGATGGATGGAGCTTCAGAGGACTCCCTACAGCTTGTATCCGATTCTGGTTATATGAACTCAGATCTATTTATAATCTGGCTCAATCATTTCATTAAGATGGTCACGCCATCTAAAGATGAACCTGCTCTTTTGATTTTAGATAATCATTCATCTCATTTAAGTTTACAGGCTATTGAATAGGATAGCTAGGGATCTTGGAGTTGTTCTTTTGAGCTTAGCACCACACACAAGCCATCGCATGCAGAGTTTGGATACAGGATTTTTTGGACCATTTAAAAAAGCTTATGCAGTTGCATGTGACAATTGGCAAGTTTCAAATCCAGGTCGTGCTATAACCCAATATCATGTTGTTGCTCGACTATTTGGCACTGCATACCTTAAGGTTGGTTCAATTGATAGAGCTAAGAAATCGAATCCTGTGGCATCTGGCCTTTTAACGATCGGATTTTTTCCGATGAAGATTTTGCTCCTGCAAATGTAACTGACCGTCCCAATCCAACTGCAGAAACTTCAAGTACAGGCGAAGCCCTTAATAGTTCAAATCTAGCTGTTGAATTGCCACTACAGAAACTGTTACCCAAGTTGTCTTGTCACCTATACCCGTCAATATTAATATTTCAGCTCCAGATATAGCATTGTCTCAACTTGAACCACCTGTGAACCGAACTCGTCCAATGTAGTCAGTGTGGGGCTTGGTGGCACGATGAGTGCTCTGACTATCTAGGATTCGGAGTTTTTAAGTGTAACGTTTGCCTTGGTTAAAGTAGATGTTCCACCATGGACAAAGCGTCCATTACCCTCATGCGTACTCTTATCTAGTACTAAGAGCCATGGATGCGCACTCTTTAAGTCATTGTACCTTAAGAGTAAAGAGAAGGGCGCGTGAGACACGTCCTTGTTTTTATTAATTATTAAATATTAATGGATGCTGATTAATAATAAGAGTAAAAAAAAGTGTTCCTAAAGAACCAAAGCCTAATTATAAGTAAAATTGAAGACTGAACTCAAAAGTTGATTATTTTAAAAATAAATCTGTCAAAACTGCGCACTCTTTGGTATCTTTACCCTACTACCACAGTCTATAATCTTTATTATACTGTGGTACTGCTATACTGATGCTGTGGAATACTCCGTAAGAGACAAGACTATTCGGCCGTTAAGGTATTATTAGTAAAAAAGCCAAATACTGTACGCATTTCTTGTATGGCGAAGATGTGTTACAAAGTTATTCAAAAAAATAAGAGTATAGGAAAACTTTTTGGAATTTTTATAGATTTTTATTCAAAATTTATGTCATTTTTTAAATTTCTTCACGGCATAAGTGAATAAAGGTTTATCACGGACATAAATATGGGGTAAACGCTCTGCCGTATTTTAAGTGGCAAATTATTATATATTATTAATAGTAAAATATATATTATTATTGTTATGAAATGGTTAAAAGAGTAAAAAAGATGTTATAGCATATCGTTATGCCACCACACGTGTTATTGCTAAAGAAACAGATTTAGACAGTTAGTTAGCAAAGCATGCGTTGAGTGGTTGAATGAGTACCTACCCAGAATGTTTACCGATGCGCATCGACGAACCAGACTTAATATTCCCCAAAGCTTATTGGAACTGTTGCAATAAGATCATAATTTTTTTCAAGCTCTATTTGTAATAATTTGGCCTTACCATTATGATTGAATTAGGTTACAATCTATCACTTGGAAAAAGCCATTATCTTTAATTCCAAAGAAATTCAAGACGAGTCCTGCCGCCGTTAAGCTTCAGGCTCCTTTCAAGGATTGTCAAAGGTTAGTAAAGATTGAATATTACCTGTTTAACTGTTACAAGAACTGTGTATGCAGAAAATAAAAAATGCGCAATGAAATCAACGGCGAGGTTTTAATTTTAATATTTTTTTAATAAATTGTTTTGTTCCACCAAAATAACAATCCGGCTCACAAGTCCGCCTTTGCCATGGCTGTAAATCGAAATGTTAGTTAAAACCTTGAGGATGCCTACATATTCACCAGACTTTACATCTAGAGATGTCTAAGTTTTATGCTTAGTAAAATGACATTCCGAATTTGTTATAATTGTACTAAAACGTCATTATGTTGAAAAATAAAATAACGATACCACAAAAAAAAAAACCACCCATTCGCGTTTTTATTGGAAGAGATAGATTAAGTGAAAGATGCTTCTCTTAATTTTATATCACTTTTTCAATTTTCTTGAATCAGCCATCTAGACAAGAGGTGTGTGAACTCTTTAAAATATTTGAATTACTTCCATAAAATCATTAATACTTCAAAATATCATCTAGGCTTTCTATGGCACACAAATAAAAGGATTTAACAGCTGCAAATACATATTTAATAGTTTTATTCTTATGATAATCGTATTACCGTTCATGTAATACTCATAATTCTGCATTCGTGCACGCAAAACAAGTGCTTAAAAAAGAAACAATAAAAAAAAGCGTTTGAAATTCGAAACATTTAAATTGCACGTTATTGCTACCGTGCACGCGGCAGTTGTCCAAATCTCACACAAATTCCTCTTCAGGGTTGTTATTATGTTACTGATTTGCCCATCTCAATTCGATGTTGCACAAATAAAAACCTTTAGCCGGATAATTCGTGGGAGTCCGAATTTATCTGCTTCACGTGAGAAAGAATTGAGAAGTTTCGGAGAAGCGGCCTATTTTTCTAAACATTGGTATTGAAGTTTTGAAATAGTGTATTTATGCTGAATTAATACGTAGTTTTTGTATTGTTTTCATTTTTTAAATTATTGTATTGTTATATGATTTCAGATTATTTATGCAGGAGCGACTTTAAATAGGTAAGTGCCGATTTTTAAATTAAAAAGAAATAATTTAAAGCGGTAACGCGCAACGGATGCGCCGGCGGCCAGCAACCTGCTGCGAGAGGTCGCAGTTTAAAAAACCTTTTTCATTAGTGATGTCGGAAAGATGACTGTCGATAGTTTTTTTTTAAATAACAGTCAAGCGACTGGGACTGGGGTTCTTTTCAAATCGGCAAATGCAGGATGAGTTTGTCTTTAGTACGGAATGATGAACTTTTGAAACATATAGAAAAACGTTTACGATAAGAGTGGTTTTGAATTACGATTTGAGACGAATTGGGAAGATTTTTGTGGCTTGCAGCAGCAATTGTATTAATTACTAGCCATCCGCCCTGGCTTCGCACGGGGGATTTTAGGATGTCGATAAGAGCGCCACCTACACGCCTGAGTCAAATTGTGAATCTAAATTATTCAGAGACTTCAAATACACAAAAAAATTCATCAATATCGGTCCAACCGTTCTCGAGTTTTAACCGACAGCAATTTAATTTTATATATAGATATGCTAATACTGTAAACATTTTGCTCATCAAAATAATAAGATTGGCGAATGGTTATGTTTTCATCGACGAACACACAAGTCGTTACTTTTTCATTCTTTTTTCTCATTCCTTTTCCCATTGAAAATGATTGCGATCCTTAATCCGCCTGTCGATTGGGGCGACAAACTTTACTACAGTGAAAGAGACCCGGTATGGATAAAGAAAGGAGAAGATCGATAAAGAAAGAAGAAGATGGAATGAAAAATGTAGTATTTAACTTTAGAATACAGCAAACAACAGTAGAATACAATTGTTTTAGAATTTAGGATTAAAATCCATGAATTTTGAGTCGCGGCCGCTTTCAATTTTAAAACACAAAACAACAAGCCCGCTGCTTTAATTACAAGAAAGGATGACAAAAGAAGACACATTCCCCCAGTAAGTGATGTAGATTTAGATCCGCCTATAGACACCATATTTGTCATCGATTAAGTTTCGAAAAACAGATGAGTTTTAACTACAGTTTTACGTTAAGGCTTATTCATGGCACAAGTAGTGGTCGGGCATTACTGATTCAAAAATAACGCATCTACAACTTGATTCTACCACATAACCAAAGGGGTCATCATTTCAGTTGGTTTACTCAGCCTTAAAACAAAATATCTAAAAATAAATATATATGTATTACAAATTACTTACGAAGCGCACAAGTCATCAATTTATCGATAAACAATTTTTGACAGCACTATCATCAACCGAACTGTCAGTACGTAAGACGGCGAATGAAAAATGTTGCCAGCCTCAAAAAAAGACCACATACTATCCATTCATAAAACGCGGGCTCGCTCGCATTTAGAAATTAGTTTATTTTAATTATTCGGTGAGCGTATTGTTGTATTAATTATTGGAGCTTCGTCCGATTGTCGGGCTGGACAATATATTTTATTGTCTTTCTGTACGGTTGTGATTTATATATCTAGTTAGTAAGTTATTTGAATTTTAATTTAGACGAGTTTTAATGGGGTACGCTTGAATGGTTTCTAATTAGGGGAAAACAACCGGACGGGGAGATATGAATAATGTCAGATATAAATTCGAGTTATGAGTTAAGAAACCGACGGCCGAAACACCTGACCTCTGTATTAACCACACAATAGGTCCATATTTGCTATAACAAATTGTCTTTTGAAAGAATAGACGATGAGATATTACTATATTCATAGCTTATGTTGTTACAGTTATCTATCCGTTTTTTCTTATATTATTTAATTGTATATTATATCCGTATTCGTATAAAGCAAGTGAACGGATTTTTTTTTGAATAGATTAATTTTTTGGTGGTATTTTAAGTTGCCAAACGAGCACACAGTTCACCTAATCACATTCATCTGTTTTCTATTTAAAATCGAAATGTAGAGGCGTTGTCACACCTGAGTACTAAGATAGAACGCCTCGTCACCAGTAACAAAGACTACAATTCTATACACTCACCATACGAAACACAGCCGCATTAAGCTACTAATTTCAGCGAGGGTTCTTCACAGAATCTTACGCGCAAGATCGTTCCCCGGTCGAGCCGAGTCATTCACGTTGCCATCACAATATAGCTGCAAAATTTTTTTTTGTATTTATGTATGAAAAAAGTTATATAAAAAAACTTTTGTAAGTATTTTATTTTGTATTGTATTTGTATATAAGTTGAAAAATAATACTAATAATATTATACTTACATAAATATATTATTAGTGTTATTTTTGTATTGTATTTGTATATAAGTTGCAAAATAATACTAATAATATACATAAGTATATTATTAGTATTATTTTTCAACTTTATTAT